TCGTTGTTGTTGTTGTGAAACTGCTGCGCTGGTCGTTCGTAGTGCTAGATGCGTATTCCAATGCTCTGGATGAGCCTGTGTAGTGTTTCTTTGCTGATGTATTTGGTAAACAAATCTGCGCTGTTGTGGAGTGTGTTGATCTTAAGGATTCTGATGATGTCGTGCTTGATGAGGTCTTGTGTGTAGAGGAATTTGAGGTCGATGTGTTTTGCTCGTTTGCTAGTGCCTTGTCGTGTAGCAATGCTCTTGCCTGCTGTGGAGTCTGTGTGGATGCGTAGGTTTAGCTTGCTGCAAATGTTGGTTTCAAGTAGGAAGTTTCTGAGGTGTAGTCCCTCATTAACTCCTGTGCAAATGGCGTAGAGTTCAGACTCTGCTGAGCTAAGTGCTATTGTAGCTTGTGTTCTGCTGCCAAATGCAACTGTTGTTCCTAGAAAGATGATGTTGAAACCTGAAGTTGATTTCCTGGTAGTAGGGCATCCTGCCCAGTCGGCATCGACATGAACGTCGAGATCCAGGATGTTGTTGGTGTTTGCTCTGAGTGTTGTTGTTGGTTCTATGGTGAATTTGTAGTGCTTGGTGCCGTGCAAGTAGCGTAGTAGATGTTTGACTCTCTTTTGTGAAAGTTCTGTAGGTGCTGTGAGGTCTCGTGCTAGTTCTTTTGTGGAGTATGCAATGTCTGGTCGTGTGTATGCTAACCATTGAAGTTTGCCAACAATTCTTCTGTACCTTTTGTGTTGTTCGTGGTCAAGTAGTGCTTCATCTTCTATTGTTGGTTTGTAGTGTGCAATTCCTGGAGTGTTTACTGAGTTGCAGTTGTTCATTCCAGACTCCTCGATCATGTTGTCGATGTAGGAGTCCTTTAGTCCAAGATTGCAGTAGTTGCCGAAGTGGTCGATGTTTCTTCCAAGAAATTGTTGTGGTTTGCCAGGTTCGAGGTAGCCGATGTGCTTGAGTAGTACCTGCTTCTGGACGGCCTCGAAAGTGGAGTCGACTGCGGTCTTGTCTCCAAGTACTAGTAGATCGTCCACGTAGACCATGATGTAGCAGTCGCGAGTCGCATTGGTGTAGACGTTGGGTTCTGACTTTAGTCTTACAAAGCTGAGCTTTTGTAGAACTTCAGCCAGGTAGTCCTGCCATGCTTTCGGTGAACTGCGTAGTCCATACATGGCTTTCTTTAGTCGCCAGATTTTGTCCTGTTGTGGACAAAGTTCTTTAGGTGGCCAAAGGTAGACGTCACGTTGTTTACCGTCGTGGTCTTTTGCGATGGGTGCGTGTAGAAATGCTGTAGAGACGTCACCTAGTCGCGCGATCCAGTTTGGTCGTGACATTTGTAGTGCGAGAAGTGTCCGGAGTGTCGTGAACATTGGTGTAGAGGCGTAGACGGAGTCTTCGTCCTCGATCTTCTCGGTGTAGCCTTTTGCGACGATTCGGCTTCGTACTCCTGGTCCTTTCTTTCTGTGTACCCATCTTGTAGGTATCGCTTCTCTGATGACGTTGTCGTTGACGGTAGACGCATCTACTTCGTCGTAGACGTCGTGTAGTTTCATTTGGTTTGACTCGTGTTTCATTCCTTCCAGTAGTTGTGTTTCGTCGTAACCTTCGTTGTCGAAGATTATGGGTTGGTCTTCTGAGGTGTCGTCGTTTGTGTAGGGAGTGATGGATTTTCCGTTGGGAAGTGTCACTGCGTTGATTTTCTGTCGTAGTGGTGGTGGTTCTTTGGTTGCTTGTTCCGTTGATCTGATTGTAGTGTCCTTTGAGGTCTTCTGTGCTTTAGTTGGTTGCATTACTTCTTCCGGAGTTAAACGTCGTAGTGTTTGTCGAGGTGGTGCTGGTAGTGGTGGATGTTGTCGTCCGGTTGGTGAAGTAGCCATAGGACTATCCGGTAGTGGTCGTGAACTTGACGTCGATGTTGACGGAAGTCGTGGAGGTGGTGTGGTGCGTTGTTGTTTTGTTGCGGGTTCCGCAACGATGTCGTCCGTAGCGTTCGTTTGTTGTCCGAAATCTTGCGTGGACCTTCTTTTCTCTGACGGTGGTAGTTGCGCATCCAACAGTGTTGCGAACGATGGGTTGTAGGTGTTCCGTCGTGGTGCCCACGGTGTGCCGGAAACTTTGTTCAATAGTGCGAGGTCGTATTTGAAGTCCGGTTGTAGTCTCCGCACTGTTCGTACCTTTTGTACGCCGATTCTGTTGCGACGTAGTTTTCTCCGGTTTCGGAAACTTTTCCGAGCCAGATGCATTTCTGCATCCGTAGGTCTGCTTTTGGGAGTTTCTTGTGTTGTGGTGGAAGGTAGAGTAGTGTCTCGCCAAATTCGCAGATTGCTCGCTCGTAGTTTCTTCCCCAGCGGCGTTCAAAGCTTGTGTAGCCGTCTGAGTGAATGACGTAGCGATTTACCGTCCATGCTGCATGTCGTACTATCCAAGGTAGTAGACAGTGCTTTGTGGACATCGTCATGCTGTAGTTGCTTTCAACCTGAGCTTTGACGACGCGGATTTGTCCGAGAAGTGTTCTATGTAGTCGCTCAACGCTTCCTTGACTGTTGCTGCTGTAGGAAGGTGAATGTCGTACACTCATTGTGCCGACTTTTGCTGCTGTAGCTTTTAGAAGTGCGTTGAGTGTGTCTTCGTTGTCGCTTTGTAGTATGCCTTGTGTTCTTCCGCACTCAAAGATGAATGCTTGTAGGTTGTTGACCATGTAGTCCATCATTGATGCTTTGTCTGGAACCAATACTGCCATACACAGTTGTGTAGTAACATCAACTGCTGTCAGTACCGGTGTGGTCTTTGGGTCTTGTTGTGACTTGATGTAGGCAAAGTCTACTTGAATGACAGGTTGTCGTGATTGTTGTTTCTTGTAGTTGTCTTGGCGTCCTTTGCCTTGAACGCAAATTGGACACCAGTTTCTGTATGGTAGATGTGTAAGGTTGTGTTCTGCTATTTGTTGCGGAGTGGGCTGCTGTGGTTGTCGTAGTCCTCTTGCTCTGTGTGCTTCATGATGCTCATGTTGTTGTTCTTCATCGTGGTTTTCCTGGATGTACTCGTAGTCTTTCTTCACGGTGAACCTTGTTGTTCCGTTCCATTGAAATGGTAGTGCTGCGTTGCCCATGACTGTCCAGTCATCTTTGCGTTGTGAAACTTCTCCAAAGTTGTTGTGAGTGATTGTAGTTCTGTGAGGTTCAAGTGTGTTGATTGGTGGATGTCCTGGTCCATCTGTTGGAGTGAAGAGAGTTGTTCTAAGCGTTGTGTGGTGTCGTATCCAGTGTTCACCTTGTCTTTCCCAGTAGTCTTGGTTGTCCTCCTGTGCTGTGAGTGGTCTGTGTATTGTCTCCTTTGGTTGTGTGGTGTCAAGATTTGTAGAAGGTGCTGCTTTGGGTCTCCATATCTTTTGTGGTGCTCGTAGTTGGATCTTTGATCTGGTTGGTGGTGTGTCCATTAGCCGTTGTGGTTGTGAGCTCTGCCTTGTTGGTGTGGTCTTTGATGTTGCTCTGTGTGTAGGTGTTATCTTTCTTCTGAATCTGGTTTCTCCAGTCCAGTTGTCACCTTCTAGTCTTCGTTGTAGTTCTTGCTTGGAAAGTTGTGTTGGGTTCTCTTGTAGTTGTTCTTGCTCTTGCCCTTGTCTGTTGATGATGGTTAGTCGCCAATCATCTAGTTCTCCTTCTGGTATTGGGCAGCCACTGTTGTGTGGTGTGAACAGTGCTTTGCGTGGTCGTTTGTGTACTCTGATGGCGTAGTCACCATCAAGTTTCCAGTAGTCAGTGTTTCCACCAAGGATCTGTCGTAGTCCTTGGTCTGTGTGTGTGAGTGGTGCGATTTGTTCTTGTTGTTGTACTGCTTTCTCTGTAGGTTGAATCACAGCAATGGATTTTCCATTGTCTGTAGTCATTGGGTAGATGTCGAATCCTGTAGGGATGTCGATCTTCTCTGCTCGTAGGTAGAAAAGTCCTGAGTGTCTTATGAGGTGTGCTTGTTGTTGTCCATGTGTGATGGTGCAGTGTCGTGGAGTGAAGTCAAGTCCATATCCTCTATCAAGTAGTCTTGATGCGCTGAGGATTGGATACTTCACATCACAAACGTAGTAGGGTATCATGATCCTGAAGTTGTCCTGCTTGTAGGGAACGTACTTGATGCCGTAGACTGGAATCTTCTTGTTGGTCACCGTGTAGAGTTGTGGAACTGATTCTCCACAGGGTCGTAGTGGAAGATCCGGTGCGTAGTCCTTTGGGCAAACATGTGTAGATGCTCCTGAGTCGATCAACAGGTGGTGGTATGACTTGAAGTTGGAGTACATGATGTAGTGGGTGATAGTGTCCTCAATCTTCTTGTTCCTTTGTTGTTGTCTTGCTGCTGCTATGTCGAAGTGTAGCTTTGTGGTGTCTTCTTGTAGGAATTGTTGAAAGCTCTTGCTGTGGTCGTTCCATGATGTTGTGTGTGTTGTTCTCTTGCCAAGTAGTGATTTGGATTTGTGCTTGTGTAGTCGTGATTTTGCTTGTCTGATGTGTCCAATGGTGAGGTGTGACTCGTTGATGCCTCCAATGTAGTTCGCTGTGTCCTCATAGCTGTTGTCATTCCAATCCCAGCTGTTGTCATAGTCGTAGTCGTTCCAGTTCTCCTCCATGTAGTTCACCTCGTGTTGTCCTTCTTCTCCTTCGTAGTACCAGTCCCAAGTGTCGTTCACATCCTGAGGTAGTTCTTCATTGTTGTCGTGATCTGCTTGTTCTTGTTCTAGTGGATGTAGTTCTTCTCCTTCTCCTATGTGCCATACCGGCACTCTGCAGTCTTGTGCCCAGTGGCCAGGCTTGCCACATCGATGGCATGTTGTGTAGTTGTTGTTTCCTTTTCCTTTTGATTTGCTGTAGTTTCCTTGGCCTTTGTAGCCTTTGCTTGATCCATATCCTTTGGATCCTGAGTAGCCTTTTCCTTTGCTCTTGTTGTATCCTCCTTTGTTGTAGTTTCCTTTGCTGCCTTTGTCGAATCCTTTGTAGTGTCCTTTACTCCTGTACTTGCCTTTGCTCTTGCTTCCTTTGTAGCCGCCTTTTCCTTTTCCTTTGCCTTTGTAGCTTCTTCCTTTCCTCCATATGTTGTCAACATCCATTGGTGCAGTTCCTCCATTGTAGTTTGTTCCTACTGCTGAAGTAGATCTAGTGAAGGCTGAAATCGTCTTGTAGTAGTCCAGGATGAGTGCTCTGATCTCGATGTAGTTCGTGATCTGTCCAGCTCGCAGTTGGAGGTGTTGCTGCAGTGCTCCTTTGGTTTTGTTGAGTAGTATTGCTATTTTGATTCCATCTGGTAGTGCTGTTCCATTGTCTTTCTCGTAGCGGTTGATGTCGTATTCCCATTGTAGAAATTGTTCTTCAAACTGCGCTTCGTTGAATGTGGGTTCCAGTAGTTTGGTAAGGTAACCAACGCTCCTTGTTCCTACTGGTAGGCTGAACCTGTTGTGTAGTAGTCGTAGTGTTTCACATCCGTTTGCGTTGTAGCGGTTTTGCCTTACTACTGTAGCTGCTGCTCCCTGACGGATGTTGATGAGGATGTAGTGTAGATCTCTGGAGAGGTCTACTGCTTTGCTTGCTTGTGTAGGGTCGAGTATGTGTGTTCTGATGTCTGTGTCCTCAATCTGTCGTGTAGCCACTTGTGCTAGTTGTAGCACCAGGTCGAAGTCTCGGTCTATGAGGCCGAGGTATGCTTGTAGCTTGAACAGCCATTCTTCATACTGGGAGTAGTCACCAGTGAAGAAGGGTGGTGGCAGTTTGTATCTATGTAGTCTCTGAACGTCGTTGTCTTGTTCTGTTCCTGCTCCCGTAGTCGTGGCTCCTACTGTGTCTGCTGTTGGCCCGTTCTCTGCTCCTGTAGTTTGTTGTGCTGAGGCTGATGCTGCTTCTCCTGACATGTCGTAGTAGTTTGGCATGTAGCTGCTGTTGCTGTGGTTGTAGTACTTACTGCTTACTGGAGCTCCCCTATGTTTAGGATCTCAGCTCCGCTACCACGTTAAAATCAGTTGTTACTTTGCTTACAAGTGCAAGTGCTGTAGTGTTCAAACAAACAGTCAACCAATGTAGTCTGCAGCTGCCAACCTTTTGACTCATGCGGGGTAGTGAACATACATGCAACAAGAGTGCAAAGTGAAGCATGTAGTTTGACATCTCCCTCTGTCTCTCTCTCTCCCTCTCTCACTCCATTTCTCTCTCTCGTATTTCTTTCTTTCGCTATGTTTCCTGTCTTTCTTTCTTTCTTTCTTTCTTTCTTTCTTTCTTCCTTCTTTCCTTCTTTCCTTCTTTCCTTCTTTCCTTCTTTCCTTCTTTCCTTCTTTCCTTCTTTCCTTCTTTCCTTCTTTCCCTCTTTCCTTCTTTCTGTTTCTTCTTTCATTCCTTTCTGTTCTTTTTTTGTCTTTCTTTGTTTTTTCTTTTCAGGTGTTTTTTCTTTTCTTCCTTTGTTTCTGTGTCTCCGCGCCAAGTCCACTGGGGGCTTGGGGGTGCCGCACTTTTCCAATCCAGTGTGGGCGGTCGCGCCCGAGATGCGCGACAACACAAACATGCCACGCCCAGAACGGCAGCTTCAGCTGCTCGAACGCAGCGCTGGGCTGCGAAGGCCATCGACTGTCGAAGGGTCGAAGGCCAGCTGACCCCTCAGTCAGCGAGGCAAAGAAGGCGCTCCGCCCGCAATAAGCAGCGGGCGCGGCTGAGCGACTCGCAGCGTGCCAGGCTGCCGCTCATCTCCCGCCGATAGGCTCACGTCTGGGCAGCGAAGCGGCGGCTCGCGCGCGCAGCGCCCAGCCCAAGTAGGCGAGCGGCTGATTCGCAACCCAGGCTTGCGCACATGCGTCAGAGCGGTCACACAACGGGCGACGGGTTTTGCTCGCTTCTATTCCCCATCTCTCGCGTTTTCTGGCTAGTGTTTCGCTTCTTCACATCGCGGGTGTTCTGAAAGAAGCAGACTCAATTCATGCAGGTACCACGGAAGTCCTTGTGAAAGTCCGTTGATCATGGCTTCATTTGTTTTTCTAGCACCCAAAATCCAAATCAAATTGTCCAGGCCCTTATAGCAAGGCAAACAGCTCCATTGAACCCGAGCGGTTCGGCTCTTGCGAGCACTTTTGTCGGCTTGTCAAGGCAGAAGGGTCAATCATTGCGTTCAGCCGTGTCCACTTGGATCGCAATCTGAGTAACCCCGTATGTTCACAAAATGCTGCCCTTCAGCCAAACCAAAAAAGCACATCTACACGCATGTGAACAAAGATTTCAGACCCGGCTCACTTGTCTTTAAATAATTTCCCTGTTTACCTTGCAATGGACCGCGAAAAAGTGTCCCTTTAACACGCATCCCGTTCCTTGCCAAGTTTCCCCTGTCTGAGAACAAGCTTTCCAGTACCTGTCCCTTGTGTCAAGTGCAAGTGTCCCTCATGCCACCGGATCGGATCCTGGACCCATGTATATACAGAGAGATAGAGAGAGATAATGATATGCAAATAGGGGGCTCAGCATAATAAACATATATATATATATATATGAATATATATATATATGTTGTTATATATATATATTGTCCACACTTGCACATTTGTATGGAGTCAACTCTAAGCACCCTTACATTGCAGCAGTCTTTGAAGCTGTTCCTCAGTCCCAAAGTGAGGCCTGTCAAATTTGAGTCACTCTAAAAAGCAGTACAAGGGCCGAGTTATTGGACTGTTGAACATCATATTCAACTATTTTGGAATAGAAGTACGCACAATGCGGTGTAAAGTCGGGAAACAATGTTTTCAACACGGCAAAGGCCAGTAGCGTCCTCTCTGTTTCGGGGATCTTGGTTCTCTTTTTGCAATTTTGGGCAACTGAAAAGCACCAAGACTCTTGAGGCCATGTCTCCCATGTCTCCCCAAAACCTCTGGGCAAGAACGCCTCCCAGGTCCTACAGCCCCCAGTTCCCTCAAAAACCTGCGGGTGTTTTCCGCCTCCCAGGTCCCAGCCCCTCCCGCCCAGCCCCTCGTGCGCCTGGGTTGGTGGCCTCCCGGAGCTGGCGGTGCAGCAGCGCCAAGTGCCGGTCCTCCAAGTCCAGCCGGGCCTCCCCCACCTTCTCCTCGCACGTGAGAGGCTGATGGAAGGGGGGGGGGCTGAGGCTGAGTGGGGCTGATGGGGGGAGATGCGAGTTGCTTAGCTTATGGAAGGGTGTGGTTGGGGGTGGCGGGGGGAGTGGGGGTGGGTTGTCGGCGTGGTTTGGGTGGTTGGGGGTGGTTCTGGGGTGGGATGAAAAAGGGGGTGAAAACTGAAAACAGGTTCGGGATGTTGGAAAAATAGGGAAACACCGTTCTCCCTCCAATAGGCTTCCCTACATTGCCCTCTGAAATGGGCCAAAAAGGTCATCCAACCGTCCACCTCGCAAAACACAACCACTGGGCCAAACAGGTGGTCCGACCGGCACCACAAAGGGGTAGCTCGGGGCACCACCAAAAACAAAGCACGTCGTCAAAAAAAAAACGCGCCTCGGAGGTGAGGGTTTCGTCCCAGAGCTCCAGCACCATCACAGCCTGGCCGGGCAGCTGCACGTCCAAGGTCGCGCGCTTGTAGATGTCGCACGCCGTGCCGCTCTCCTTGCGGAACTGGCCGAGCCGCCCCCCCGATCGATCGGCAAGCGGGGGACTTCCGGACAAAAAAGAGCAGGGGACAACGGGCCTTGGAAAGGAATGGGCAATCAACCGAAAGCCTCCAAACAAAAAAGGCAAACCACCTTTGCTTGGCAAAGTTGGACACACCCAGGTGGTGGACGATTGGCCAGGTCCCGAGCCGCCGCTCCGATCTGTTTCCCGCTGAGGTTTGTAGATCTGCACATTTTCTTTGGGAGAGAGAGCCAGCTCATTTAGCTCCAGTGCGGAAGTGGGAAACCCACAGGAACGAAGCCCCCGCCTCCTGTGTCATTCCCTCCAAAGTCTAAAGTCTGAAAGTCCTCTTGCCACCTATTTCCTCCAAGTAGATCGCTCGGCCGCAAGTCGCTTGCTCTGGCCAAGGCGAGCCAAGGCCAGAAAAGGTTTAAGCCGAGACCTGAATGAGGAAGAAACCTTGCAACCAAACAGGGTGTGTCTTCTTAGCGGATCCTCCCCCCCAAAAAAATGGTTGTCTTTGGCTTCCATTAAAACCATCCCAAAAACCTCAAACTAAAAGGAAAGACGAAGAAAAAACTTGCACCCACCAGTTCAAACCTTGAAAAACCCAGGTGAAAAGAGCGCCTCAACAGAATCGCCAGTCCAGCCCACTGGTTCCAACGCGGCCGCGGCGCGTGGCACAAGGTCACCTCCACGCGGGTCTCGGGCTGGCCCAAGATGCCCACCTCGCGAGTCGCACATCGGACGATCTGACGACGCACTGGGCGCGATGAACCCATGCTCGCTATGCGGCCGAAATTACTTGTCCCACATTTTGGGGTACTCAGAAACTGATAAGGCTGTGGGTCAAATAGGTACTCGAAATGGAACCCTGGTAGATGGAAACATGGACTGAAACCTGCGGTCTCCTGATGGTTTGATTTTGACCCATGCCCATATGTTCAGATAAGAGTTTTTAGCCTCCCCTAAAATACCGGAAAAAAAAGGGGGAGCCCTTGACAACCAATAGGCTGGTCTCCAAAATGAATCAAGCCACTATCCCGCTGATAGTCAGCTACAAGGGTAAATGAGGCCCAACATACCCCCCCTTTAACCCCCTTTACCCCCAGGACAGCAGACTATTTTTCCACAATTTGGGGGGAAGAATGAGAGAGACCGTCAAAAAGCGCTGCAACTTTGGGACTCAGATCGGACGAAGATCGAAACCCCGGTGCGGGTTCCTTCAGTGTGCAGCTCGGTCGCGACGCGTGCTGGGACTGGCATCGTGCAACTGGCTGTCATTGCACGCGCTGCCCGAAGCCACTCAAAAAATCACATTTGAGGGTGGATTTAAGATTTACGGAGCGGGGTAAAAGGGGGGGTTAACTAACCTATGGTCCACGTTGCGCACTTTTTGGGTCGACTCTAAGCAACTTCCGATCAGCCACTTCCATCGGAAAGAGGTACGGCACGGCACGCACAAACATCATTCTAGGGGTTGATTCCCCAATTATGTTCAACCATCGTTCTTTTCCAAAAACCGGCTGTTTCCCATGTTTTTTTGCGGTTTTCTAGAAAGAAGGATCCCTGGAAAGATAGGAAATGGAAGCTACCCTTAGAAGCATCCGGCCTTGAGGTAGGGCTTGTTCAAATCCATGAAGCCGCGGGCGGTGAGGATGTAGATGCTCACGGCAAAGGATCTGGCCAGCCACAAATTCTGCACCGGCGTCATGTGCACCGACTGAGTCTCGTCAGGGCCCTCCTGATCCCACTCGCCAGTGCAACGGTGAACCAAAGGAAACAGAGAAATGGCAGAGGTTCATAACCCTTACTCCAAATACCCACCAGAATACAAGGGTATTTGTTTATTAAGAAGCGGGCAGGCGTCCAAATTCCGACGCCACGAATCAAAAATAACGGCAACCCTGGTCCTTAGCGGCCTCCACAGTAATGTGCCCCTTCAACATGCTCATCTCATTGTCATCGAGGCTCAGGGCACGTCTCATGTTCATGCATCTGGAAAGGAAGGCGTGCTTCACCAGCTCATCATCTCCTGTCAGGCAATAAAACGCTTTGCAGCCGGCATGAAACTTTTTCAGGGCACCTCAAAAGGCAGAAGAGCCCGGTGATTCCTGAGGCTACCACCCCCCCTGCCCCCCTGCAACGCGGCTCCTGCTTTTTGCTCCGGCAGCGAGGCGATCTCAGGGAAGGCATCTGAGAGCACGGAGCGATACCAGCCTGGGCGAGCAAACGAGGCCCCCAGTGTGGTACTGTGGATGGTTGCGAAATCCAGAAATCGCACCACCTAAGAAACCCTGAGAATCTGATTCGATTCCCCTGTAAATACCAATGAACAATGGCTTCAACCATGGTTTCCAAGTGGTGCAAGAGTTCGTCCATCCACAGTATGTCGATGGGAAACGTCCAGAAACGTGGCTCCCGCTGTTTTCGGTTAAGCGACCACTCTTTGAGTTCGTCCACAAAAAGGGGCCATTCTTATTGAGCTTGGGGGGCCAAGACCTCAACTATCTTTGAGTGGTCCCCATTCCGCTGAAAAAGCACATGTTCCCACAGCACCCCACGTTCGCCCACAACCCGCAAGGGGCGCAGTTTTGGTAAGTTGTTCATACCCCGTTTTTGTCAGCTTTTCATACCCCTTTGGTCTGAAGCTGCGACAATCAAAGCTCACCCTCACCGTAGATGTTCTGTGCTCGAGCTAACCCCCTGTTCCCGGCTTGGGTGTGGGTCAAGACCTTTGTGGATGACAAGGACAAGGCTCAGGTGGCATCCTCATCTGCAGCGTTCCATGCTGGTACTTTGAGTGAGTCACTTGGACTGGGGTCTCCTACTGCTTAAAGCTTCGGCTCAGAGGTTTTAGGTACTAACACCACTGACTCTTTAGGTTGGGGGGTTTCTGGTTTCTGGGGGGGCGACACCACCACTGACTCTTTAGGTTGGGGGGTTTCTGGTTTCTGGGGGGGCGACACCACCAGGTTGGGGGTTTCTGGTTTCTGGGGGCGACACCACCACTGACTCTTTAGGTTGGGGGGTTTCTGGTTTCTGGGGGGGCGACACCACCACTGACTCTTTAGGTTGGGGGGTTTCTGGTTTCTGGGGGGGCGAACACCACCACTGACTCTTTAGGTTGGGGGGTTTCTGGTTTCTGGGGGGGCGACACCACCACTGACTCTTTAGGTTGGGGGGTTTCTGGTTTCTGGAAGGCGACACCACCACTGACTCTTTAGGTTGGGGGGTTTCTGGTTTCTGGGGGGGCGACACCACCACTGACTCTTTAGGTTGGGGGGTTTCTGGTTTCTGGGGGGGCGACACCACCACTGACTCTTTTTAGAAGGGGGGTTCTGGTTTCTGGGGGGGCGACACCACCACTGACTCTTTAGGTTGGGGGGTTTCTGGTTTCTGGGGGGGCGACACCACCACTGACTCTTTAGGTTGGGGGGTTTCTGGTTTCTGGGGGCGACACCACCACTGACTTTAGGTTGGGGGGTTTCTGGTTTCTGGGGGGGCGACACCACCACTGACTCTTTAGGTTGGGGGGTTTCTGGTTTCTGGGGGGGCGACACCACCACTGACTCTTTAGGTTGGGGGGTTTCTGGTTTCTGGGGGGGCGACACCACCACTGACTCTTTAGGTTGGGGGGTTTCTGGTTTCTGGGGGGCGACACCACCACTGACTCTTTAGGTTGGGGGGTTTCTGGTTTCTGGGGGGCGACACCACCACTGACTCTTTAGGTTGGGGGGTTTCTGGTTTCTGGGGGGCGACACCACCACTGACTCTTTAGGTTGGGGGGTTTCTGGTTTCTGGGGGGGCGACACCACCACTGACTCTTTAGGTTGGGGGGTTTCTGGTTTCTGGGGGGGCGACACCACCACTGACTCTTTAGGTTGGGGGGTTTCTGGTTTCTGGAGGGGCGACACCACCAATGACTCTTTAGGTTGGGGGGGTTTCGGGTTTCTGGTGGGGGGGGGGACATCACCAGTGACTCTTTAGGTTGGGGGGGGTTCGGGTTTCTGGTGGGGGGGGGGACATCACCAGTGACTCTTTAGGTTGGGGGGGGTTCGGGTTTCTGACACCACGTAACTGGTGCGAGGGTCCCACTGGGGAACCCTACTTTTCAGGGATAAAAATATACAAAAACTCCAGCCCTTGAGGCAGGAGGAGCGACGTGGCCTTTGAAAAAGGTCCCTTAAACGGACTTATGAAGCGGGTGAGCCTTGCATTTCCTCACACACACCCAAAAATCAAGCAGGGGTCAATCCTAAGTTCCCATTGCACAAAAAAAAAGAGTAGTTGCAAGAAACCCACCTGTTTTGTGTGTGGGGTTCTTGGGCAGGGGGGGTCCAAATCTTTGTGTCGTCGCTTCTTCTGTTCTTTTCTTGTTTGGGGAGGTCCACATCTTTGTGTCTCTCGTCTTTTTGCATTTTGGAAAACCCCGGCCCCACGGCCTTTCTGCCTCCTTCTCCGAGCGGCTCTTGCTGCGCTCACGGTCGAACTTCTCGTAGCCCTCCCGCTTCATGATGCGGCACACGAAGGCATGCTTCGCCACGAAGATGCCTCTTGCCCCCCCCCCCCCCCCCGAGACGAAGCCACAAAATCGCGCCCATAAAGAAAACCCGGGACCTTCGGTTCAAGAGCTGGTGCACAATCACCGGGGACCTGGCCTAGGCACAAATGTGTGTGTGTGCGCGTGTCTTTCTTTGGGGGACCCCCCCAAAATCGTGGCTGTCCCTTCGGTTTCCCTTGTAACCACCAACGAGGGGTGCCCCCAAAAAACAACAGACCCAAATGGCAATGTCATGAAAGTCAAGGGAACATGCCTGCAAGGATTCCATTCAATGCAGGGCCTTGCGAATAGCCGTCGCAGTCGAAGAGGGTCGTCTTCGGCTTGCTCTTTGCTTTTGCCTTGCCCTTCAAAGCTTTCCGCGCCACTTCTTTCTCCACTTTCTTCTTGAACTCTCCGCCACCAACAAGAGTCTTGCAAGGATACCTCGCGCTTGCAGATCACACAAAATCAAGCCATGCTGCTTCTCTCTTTTCTGATTCTGCTTCAGTCGTGTGTGTGTGTGTGTGTGCATCTGCATGTGGGGGTTGATAAAAAGGTCCTTTACATGACCATTCGGGAAAACTTACCCCAAAAAAGGACACAACTTTCATCACTTCAGGGGGAAAGGGTTTTTTGTTACCTATGGTCTTAGAAGGTAAACTGGGCTGTCCTCAGATCCCCATGCTAAAAGTTGAAAACTTTCAGTGGGTTAAATGGAAGCCCCATTAAACACTAAAAAGATCTAAAAAGGCTGAGGAACCGGATGGCTGGGAGCCACCAAGTAAAAATGTCTTGATCAACCCCAACGGTCACTCCGGCGCGTGCGTGCGCGTCTCGTGTCGTTTTGCCCCGCCAGGTCGTCTCCATCTCATAGCGAAGGTCGAAGCTGGGCACCCTCACGGGCACCTGGAAAAACCGGAATCGAACCCAACGTCAATCGGGGGAATTCCTCAGTTTGGATGGTGCGAAATTGGCCATGGGTCCAAATCCAAATCGTACCCCGTGCCCCCAGTGAACATCCCAATCCCCAGAAAAAAAAATGGTCCTAAAATGGATGGTGAATTTACCTACCCCAACATGGTACCATTGGTTTTGACCCACAGCCAATTGGGAACTCCTCGTTTTGGAGGCTGCTGCGATGGGTAAGGAATGCCAAATGGAATGACGAGATAGGCCATCCAACTGGTGGTTTCCTTTTTTCGGGACCGCACCAAAGCCTGGGTTCATTGCCCCATTCGCTACTGAAAACCAGCAAGTTTTGGAGGCGAAACCAAAAGTAAACCATACGTAAAGGTACGGGTCAATTTTGGATGGCACTCTAGTTGGGTGTTTGGATTGCTGCTTTGGTGAAGGGATTGTTTCCCATGTACCCTCTACAGGAAGCAGGGGTCAAAATCGTCCCAATCCAAATCACCAACTAAGGGGGAGGGGAAAAAAGACATAGAAGGCAAGGCAGTGTCCTAGCTCGGGTCGTATATTCCTTGTATATCTTCGTGTTCAATATTCATCGCTAACCAGAAGAAACCTCCTTCATATAGTTTGAGCATACCTGGAGCTCACGATGCCAATGTCTGCAAAGTGGTGCTGAAAGAATGCTAGCAAATCAACATGCCGCAAGCTTTTTGACAAAATCAAACATACCCGCGATGTCCATTTGCTTGAGGAACCTTGCAAATGACCCTTTCCCTGAGCATCAAGGCAAAACGCAAATGTACGGGCACAAATCCTCCACTTGCTTTCCTACCCCCCAATTAATATGGACTTTTCACAACTTATAGCCTCCCCCAACAAATATGGAGGGTCTCTGAAGGCTGTTTAGATTCACTCTGGGTACCTTGAGACATATATGCCAGTTCAAACATCCCTTTTGCCGGGATGATCCCCTTGCCACGCAGGTGATTTTGGGATGCTTTCGTGGAGGGGTCAACATCCTTCCTCGGTTTTCCTGGAGCACTGGGCATTAAATGACCATGATCAAAGTCAATTCGAAACAAAACCCCATTTTCCGACTTTGACAAGCCGCAGCAACAGGGATATAACTATGCATCTCTCACTTTTTAAAGGCTACCTCCTTGTTTGGTGGGTTTTAACGGGAAACCACTCGAAACGCCCACACATCTCTTGGGATCCCACCTACAAACCAAGACACCACCCATACTCCAACATTAGCACAAAAACGACGCCACTGACACCACCGGAGGCGCGAGGTTATCCGAGCCCGCCAGCTTCACCACCAGCAGCACCTGCCCCGGCGCCGGCCAGCGCGTCACCGAGGCCGGGGCGACCCACACCACCTGGCCAAGTGGCCGCTTGTTTTCCGGCGGCCCAGATCGATCCCTTTGTTTGTTCGTTTTTGGGGGAGGAGTCCAAAGGGCCGGGAGGTTTTTGTCGGGCCCAGCCAGAAGTTGTCTTTTTATTTGGAAGTCGAAAAAAGGGTGTGGGAGTGGAAATATTAGGGACCTTGAACAAAACGTCGGGTATTGGCAGGTTGAAAACTAACCCCTCAAGCAACAAAGGTCCGAATGGAAAAGTGGTCGCCATTGGCAAGTTGAAACTGATTTTCGTGACGTCCCTTTCTGGGGTGGGTTCAACATGACCTTCTGGAAGGGGTGCTAATTGAAACTGAGTTTTCTTGTGGTGGGGTGATGTTTGAAGAAGAAGCGAACTCCAGGGAATCCCGGTTCCGATTCCGTTTGGAACTCAACCGGCCACCTTGAAATCAAGCTATGGAACCCTGGCTGGATTCGTCTCTGCGTCTCTTCCTTGTTCGGTCAGACGAGCCACCAAGGTTTTACTGTCCAAGTCAGTCCCTGGTTGCTGGCAGGATCCGTTTGCACCCCCGACAAGGCCGAGCACTTTTAGAGGGGCCCTAAAGGAATGTTGCGTACCGGAACGTCAGCAAACAAACCAAAATCTGGTTCAAGATTTGAGCGGCCAAAAAGCTTGAACAAGAATGGGGACTGAAGAGGCTCGGAAGACTGCCATCGCCCTACAACGACGTGAAAGGAAACCAACAAATTGAACATGACACAAATCCTCTTCGGAAAATGATCCGAGGCATCTTCTGACAGGTTCCATCTAATTTAGATGAAGAGTGCCAAGTACCAGCCGCAAGGGCCATCTCCGAGGGCAAACCAGGCCCTGCGATTGATGACTGGTGTATTGATCGGTCAACATTTACAAAAACACCTGGCTGCAAATTCAAACCTGCCCTTCTCGCCTAGCCAGCACGTGCGAGATGTTGAAAGCTCCACCCCAACTGCCTCCAAACCCACAATGGCTGCACGCATCTCTGCTGCGCTGACCCTAGCTAACAATAATTCACCGACCCGAATTGGGGAACTCTTAAGTAAGGCACCTTCCCCAGGCGAGCTGCTGAGTCTCTCACTCCCCGTGCCGCTTCCTGCCTCTCCCTCACGCTGAAAGCGCACTACCAGGATGGAGGTCGACTCCGCTTGCTCCCCTTCCGGCTCTTCCTCCATCCTCGCAAATTGCTCGCTGCCGGCAGCGTAGAAAGCTTCTCTTACGGTTTAAGACTGTGTGAGCCACAATCAAAAGCCGGTATTAAAATGGTCTACACTGAGTCATGTAAAGGAGGAGACGGTACCCATTTGTGGCTGGGATTGTCCCTTACTGCCCTCCAATTACCTGGAAGATGGGACCTTCAAGTTCCCTCAACCTACTGTCACAAGTCAGCCGCAAGCAAGGAAGTTTGCCCCGTTGCATGAATTCCTGTCGCTGGCGAATTAGAAAGTCGGCAAACGGAAGCAACTTCAGGGCCCTGTACGATACCCCTTCAAACATCACCCCGCCAGAGAGAAACTCTACCGCTAAAACAAAAGTAGGCCCAAACTTGCTGGTGCTCAGGAATGTGGGAACGAGCCCAGGGATTCCCATAAAGGAAACCACAAGGGATGAGAACCGCCAAAACCCATCGCTTCACGCGTTGGCCGCTTTGTGCGAGTCTGGACCAAGCGTCAACTTGATCAAAAGCTCCAGCTTGGCTCGCTGCGAGGGCAGAAGGCTCAAGTCGACGCCGTGGCCCAAGGACATGACCCAGGATTGATCCGGCTTCTTCCTCGGATCCGAGCCACAGAGAGTTTTGGGTATGTGTCAAACTAGGGGACCCCCAGCAACCGAGGTGTTCCGGTAGCTTTCGGGTTAAACTCAAAAAAACGGAACCGTATCCTCCAAAAAACACGCCGAGGAAGAAAAAAAACAAAGGGGGTCCTTTTTCAGCTGCAAGAAACTTGGGGCTTTTCCCAAGTCTGGCAAGGCTTCCTGATCTCCACTCCGATGTGCAGCGGGATGCGGGTGACAAAGACGCCTTCTTTCAAGACGCTCATCGTGCCCAAGGGCTCAATGACCTGAAGTAATGACCGGATTCCGGTGGCTTGCTTGAACATAGACTTGCTCTTGCTCAGGAGGGAATGTCGGAATGAACCCAGGAGCCCCCCTGAAGGAAACCATAGGGGATGGTTTATAAGGGTCATTCCCTTCCCTGCTGAGCACCAGCAAGTAAAACTGGGTCTTGATCGTTGTTTTGCAATATTCCGGGAGAAAAAGAACACGGCGAAAAGCTGACAGGGTTCAACCCCCTGCTTGAACCTCTTTCTCCTTCGAGACGGGAAGGCTTTTTCAAGCCCCCCAAGGTGAGGCTCCGGACAAATCAACCCCGTTGATCAAAACTCCTGCCAGTGAGCTGACGATATAACGTGGGCGAGTCTTTTTGAGGGTACCTGGAGATTCAAACACCCAGAAATTTCTGGGCGTTTTGGGTAATGGGTACGATTGGAGGAAAACTGGGGGTTCTAGTACGAACCGCTGGAAAACTAGTACGAAGGCCGGCGTCTAACGTGCTGCTGGCCGTTTGGGAGGATATTTGAGCCAACAAGATCTGACCTCATATCAATATAGTTTCCTTTCTCGGTGCTTGCATTTCCCGTTGCAAGCATGACCCTACATCGGTGCCCAATCAGGGCATGCTTTTGAGCGGGCAGTGCATGAAACAACCCCAATTGACCCACTTTTTGGGATTTGCGCTCGTTTGCGGGTTTTTGCGGGCGTTTTGCGGGTTTTTGCGCTCGTTTTGCGGCCAAAAGTGGTACGAACAAAGTGCGTTTCTCACTCGAAGCATGTCTAGAGTAAACTTGCTCCGATTTGCGCACCACTCCCCCGCACAGCTAGGATTGAAGGGTGTTGATGGAGGGAAGGATTCGAAGTGTTTAGAAGTTTCTGAAGATTCGAACATCTGGTGTAGTGGGCAATATCAAGCTGAATGAGAGAGAAAGCCCTGTGCAAGAAGGAAACACCCAATAATTCGAACTTCTAGGCGTCTTAGTCGTTTTGCGGTAAAAACGATACGAAACAGGCAAAAGCAATACAATGACCAAAACACCTACTTTTTTTTAGTCGTTTGAAGCTGCAGGTACCCTTGTTGTTTCTGTGTTAAAGAGACACCAAAAAGGAAAACCACCATTTGATGGCGAAGACCGAGCTGCAAAGCGCCAAATCAGACCTTCATCGTCCCGCAGAGACACGTCCTTCCTGGCCCTCTGCCGCTTCTCCAGGTGACTCGGAGGCTCGAGTTTGAATCTCGCCAGGATCTTGGAGTCTCGGTCAGTCTCCGGCTTGATCAAGTGCCCGATTTCCCTGACGAAGGTGTGCAAGTTCTTGGAGAGGGACATGTTCGGGCCAAGGCCGAACTCTGGGACATGCTGATGCGAAACCACGCGGTAGCCCTTCTGCTCAGCCATCAATTTCATGTCCCGCGTAGAGCATTCGGCGAGCGCCCACACATGCTTGAAGCTCGGATGATGCAACCCCAAGCCTCACTTGCCAAGGACCCCCTGTAGGGCTAAACAAGTGCTGGAAAAATCCTTGCTTTGAAGTACCCGGCCCTCCCATTCTCAACATCCAGGCCCCAATTGACCTCTTTGCGTGTTGGCAAAGTTTGGCAAAAACGGAATGTCGACCAGCGCGGGATGCGTAGTGCGGCTTCGCCGAGAAGCTGCTTGGTCCCAAAGGCAACTTTTGGGTTCGGTCCTTGCAGGTGAGAATGGGTGTGACCCGATGATCGAAGCCTCGGTCAACTCGTGCGAGGTCAATACACGCCTTCAAATGGTGCCTCAACAATTGGAATCCCCACAATGCTACCTTGGTAAATGGAAATAGAGACTAAAACCTGCGTAAACCCAGCTCTGTTCTGTTGAGTTATACCCAGAGTAAGATGAAGCCCAGTCTCCTTTTGAGGGACTCCTTTGTGGGTTCCATATAAATTTGTGGGAGTACTCAGGCCTGTCGAGGATCGGTCTGGGGTATGCTGAAAAATGGTTCCTTTTTCCCCTCACAAACCGAGGGGATGTATTCAAAAAGGGGTCGCGCAACTTTCGAGCGAAAGTAACTCCTTCTGCATCAGTTTTCTTCAGGGGCCGTCGATCGCCCCCGCCCAGCCCCTCAGCACCTGCACCGGCACCCCAAACTGCATGCCCCTAGCACCCCCCGTGCGTTTCCTACGACCCGGCCATTACCAGCACCCAAACTGCATGCTGCCTAGCAGGCGGCCATCGATCTCGCAAACATGCGCCCCCCATCACCAGTACTTCAAACAGCGTCTGCACCAGCACAGCTGCATGCCCCCTAGCACCCGGCCATCGATTTCGCAAACACGCGCCTACCACCTGCGCCAGCACCCCAAACTGCATGGTCCCTGACACCCGGGCATCGAAAGATCTCAGGCCCGCGCATTCATCTGCACTGCGCCGGTCCCCCAGCATCCAGTCCGCAGGGTTGAAGTACTGCAACACCGGGGTGTCGTCCTTGCCTGGACAAATTGCCAGGTCAAAGGGTAAAAACTAAGCCACCCAAATATGGACCGCAGATCTTAGATCTTAGTGCTTGCTATCCATGTACTGGGTGTCTGTTTTGGGTACCAATTTTTGAGCCACAACCATGCGCAAAACGTCACCTTGTCTCCGTGGACCTCTTCCCATTTTTGGGCTCTGGTTTCCGCTTCATTTCCGAAAAGCCCCACAAAGTCAGCAATAATCCACGTGGTTTGCGGCCCACTTGGAGCTGTGGAGGCATTCACCCGGTTCGCACCAATCCCGCCATCCCCATGACTACTGTATCACCTTCGCAGAAGGTTCCCTTGGAAACATGGCCTTGGATGGTGAAGAGGTGCTGCTGTGTAAGGCTCTTGTCCACGTGGAAGTCCTCGTTCCACCTGGCCGAAGGCATGATCAAAATTGAGCGCTTCCCCACCAGGCTGGGAGTCCCTTGGTTCTCGAAAACTTCAGAAGGTCCTTTACATAGGATGACCATTTTTCAAAAACCACTAAAAGAGGATATGTCCCACTAAATGGGGGAGGTGTCCCATTGTCATTTGGAGGCCAGAAATATTGATCAAGCCCCCGATGAGTTCATAAGCGATAGCATCAAAGCAATACAGGGCCGCATGCGAACCAAAAGGAGCAGAACTACCTAATTACAACCCTAGATTTTAATCGATTCCCATTCAAAGGACGGTTGCCCTAACTTGGACAATGAAACTCCAAAGGTAAATCAGGTGGCAACAACAGGCACCCATTTGATGAAATGATGTTGTTGCTTTTCTTTTTTCCCTCGCGACAAGTCCCTTGATAGGTCACAACTAGGAAGCCTATGGCTCTGGACCAAAGAGGGGTTGTTAGCCAGGGGGAGCTTGGATTCACATGGAGAACCACCCCCAGCCTCCTCCAAAGTTGCTGGTTTGGTGTTGGCTTCCGCGGTTACCAACCCAAAACAAAACATCCTCCAAATCACTTCAAGGGACTCGGCCAATTCAAATGTCAGAGCAAAAAAGCGCCAGTGCAGAAAATAGCCCTTTCTGTGGTACCGAAGTCTGCTTTTGTCATAAGGGGCCTGGCTACAGAAAATAGCTGAACTGGCCTCACGCCATCACCCAAGTCAACCCGAGCAGCTTAAAGCGGAAACAACCATGTCCAGTTCAGCTACAGAGAGTAACCAGTCAAAGGGGAGGCTACCATTTCCGGGCAACCACTTCCCATGGGAAACTAACCTCCGGATTGTCAAAACCTGCCCAACCCCGTTTCCCACGAGCCAGCCAGGCATCAGCTCCCCACTCGCCGCCGCGAAGACGTCCACATAGATGTCATAGACAGAGCCGTGGTCTGGCTGGGGCGGAATGCGGGGCAGGCACCTCAGACAACAAAAAAAGTCGTCCAAATGGGAGAAGAAAAAAAACGGGACCCCAGGGTTCTGTTGCCAAAAAGTAACATCCACATGAAGACCCTGGGGTTCTGTTGCCACCATTAAAATGATGGTTGGGTTGATATAACCACCATTGTTTAGTACCCTTCAGGATTTGTCATCATCTATGCAAACTGGGTCCTTGGAATTCTTCTAATGGGGGTTGAGCCCTAGGACCAAGAAGATCGAAAGGTCCTGGTGTCCTAGTGCTCTACCTTTGAATAGCAACCAAAAAGGTGTCCACCATATTGCACACGCACATGGCTGTGATTATTAATGGGTCCCAGACCCTTTGGTAGCCATCATTGCATGGGGTTTAGGTCCAACCAATCTTGAGCGTGTCTGGGTGTTTGTGCGTTTGCGTGTTTGTGTGCGTGTGTGTGGTGTGATTCTGTGTTTCTGTGATTCTGTGTTTCTGTGCTTGTGTGTGTGTGTGGGTCTGTGTTTATGGTTTATGTGGTTGTGCCTTTGCGTGTTTGCGTGTTTGTGTGTTGTGTTTATGTGCGTGCTCGGTGTGCGCGCTCGCGTTTGTGTGTTTGTTTGCTTGTGTGTTTGTGTTTTTGTTTGTGTTTTTGTTTGTGTTTGTGTGTGTGTGTGTGTGCGTTTGTGTGTTTGTGTGTTTGTGTTGTTCTGTGGTTGTTTGGTGTGCTGTCGTGCGGTCAGACAGACACAGAGACGCAGATTCACAGAGAAACACACAGGCAACAAAACACAAAAAAAAACAACTGAAACACAGAGACGCAAAGAAACACAGAGACACAGAGAAACACAGAGACACAAAAATGCGGAGACACAGAAATGCAGAGACACCACGACACAGGCACACAGACACAGAGACACAGACACAAAGACACAGAGACACAGAAACACAAGACACAGAGACACAGAGACACAGAGTAACAAAGACACAGAGACACAAAGACACAGAGACACAGAGACACAGAGAAACAAAGGCACAGAAACACAGAGACACAGACACAGACCCACACACACACACGCATATATATATATATACATACGCACACACACACACGCACACACACACACACACACACACACACACACACACACACACACACACACACAAACACACACACACACACACACACCCATGCGCGCGCGCGCCCGCTCGCAGCAGGGATTTCCATTAAAAAGGGCCCGAAGGTCTTCCACTCCAAACAGTCTGTACTGCGGCCAAATCCGAAGACCTCATTCCAAATCCTTCCGAGCGTTTGTTGATCCTCTCTTCGCCTTGCCCACGCGCTTGGACCGATCCCCTTTGGTTTCCACCGGTCGCATGTTGGACACCCCGCCTGAGGCGGTCCTCCAGGGACTGGAACTCCCGCACGCTTTGCTCCACCCAAAGCTCGTCGGAGAAGAGGCGCTCAGAGGCCCAGTCGGGGAACCATCCCTCCTGCGAAGGCTTTGAAGACGTCGAGACGTCCAGAAACGGAAGGAACCCAGAAGGGGGGATAGGTCCAGTTCCCAAAAGGAGCTTCCTCCTGATGAGGAAACCCCCTTCCTTCCGATAGAGTCCAGCCCAGACGAAAACGCTGGTGGGAGCCCCCAGGCATAAGTTTTACCAGTTGGTTTTCCCTTTGGTGTCCATTCTTACACCACTGTCGGTTTGTTTCAACTATGGGTTTCCTTGGGCGTAGAAACTGAGCAGGAAATCAAAACTCGATATCATATATACAGATATGTATATATATATATATATACACATAATATCCAACCTCAAAACATCACCCCACAAAAGCAACCGCACCTTTGCGACAACAGTTTCCGTTCTGTTGAACAATCCTTCCCGGCCACATTCTCATGGTAATCTGCAACACGTCAGCAAACCTTTACAGACATAAGAACTCTTCAGTGCCAGCCAGAACCTTGCAACATCCGCACCTGGCAAGCAACATTCCTTGTCTGTGGGATTTGGAAGGCCCGCATGGCTGTCTTTTCATTGAGCCGGGAAGGCCAATATCCCCCCACTAAGTCCGCAGTTGTATTGTCAGGGGATAAATTTTGTAACTATTGGTTCTGTTTAGAGGGCAGTTCTGAGGATGTCATTGACACACCCAGGTCAATCCCTGGCTCTCCAACCAAGAACCTGTTCTGGGAGCTCTCTCTTGCTACGCTGGGGTGAAAGTAGGCACAATTCTTCTGGTTTAGGAGCTGCTTGCCTTGCCTAGCCAAAGGGACACCCTCCACAAGGGACGAGCCCCCGCCCGTCCTTCAGGCCGCCATCCGGCAGCACCTGGCGCCCGAAGCTCCAGCCGGAGATGTCGCGGTGCAGGACCTCGACCACTTCGCCCTTCACCAGCGCCAGCTGCTCGGAGTCCTGGAACCAGCCCACGCGGAAAACCAGCGGGCCGACCGCATGCGGTTCATAGCCGAGCCACATGCCATTGGAAACGTGGGTCTGAAAAACCAATGTCGAAGTCGTGCCGAAGTCATGCCGAAATTATGCCGCAGTCATGCCGAAGTCGTGCCGAATTCATGCATGGGGCTCATCGCATAATTCAGAGAAGACTGTGCGAATATATGTAAACCTGCATCGGACGCAGCACGTGCACCATGTCTTCATGGGTTCCACTCCAAAAAGTCTCCCCAACCGAAGATCAGGGACCCCTATATTGGAACCTTCATGGGTGACGTTGCGAACCTCCTTGCGACGTTGTAATTTGCCCAACAACACGTCATGTCCATAAGGCCTGCGTAAATCATACTACAAGGCAGCCTCATGGACTGATGATGTACAGGTTTGAGTCTAGAAACTCTGTCCATCTGGGTGATCCAGTTTTCATTTGGGGGGGACAATTTTGGCAACTCAAAAACAAGTTCTGGACCCTTTGTCCATAAGCTGGGTGCAGAAGCTGGGTGAATCTGACAGGGCGCATGGAAGACGAGGACCTCCCTTCAGCCATTGAGAAAATTACGAATGCGTCTTCAAGACCGTATAGGCAAATTGGGAGGGGGGGGGGCCGCTGGGTTCTGTGCGAAATTGGGTGGGCCCCCATGTCCCTGAACTAACCGTAGACTGAGAATGGTGTTGTCAGTTGCTCAAATGACGAACTTGTCCTCGGTTCGTGGGTGAAGTCGCACACTCCTTTGTGAGGTCGACCAATTGTTTGTCCAATCCATGGGGTGCGGGGTTCTGGGAAGAATGTGTCGGCATGCATTCCCGTGTGGTTTTTAGGGTTCGGGGGAAGGAAAAGCATAGGAGAGTTCCTCCACATGGCCCGGTATGATGCAGTGGCTCCCTGGACACAACTCTGATTCTTACTCGTCCTTCTGAAGAACCAGTGGGAGTCATGGTTTCTCGCTTTGCATTTAAAATAGGTACAAACACCGTTCACTTGAACCAAAGTCGAGCTGTCCAAAGTATGCACGCCGAATGCTCATCCTCTTGAGGCATTGCCAGTTCGCCGACCGGATCTTGCAGATTGTCCAAAGGAACCATATATGGTACATTTCTCCAAAGCTAGAGCGTAATAATACTCCTCTTTGGGTCAGCCACTGCATTCACGTCCAAACCATAGTCTCATGACAAAGCTATCCAACCTATGCATGACATCAAACTGTCTCAAGCGACAAACATTGCCAAGCCTCTCCGGGTTGAGAGTTGCCCCAAACAACCCGCCACATAGCTTGGTTGCCGTTGACACCTCTGCAAAAGATTCTCACTTTTTGTGGGTTTCATGGAAAACGTCTTGATTTCCCAAAAAGTCAAAGTCTAAAGATCCAACCCAATAGAGTAGAAATCGGCGCAAGTTGATCCCTAGGATGAAATATCATCCTCGTTGCCATGTTGTCCTTGGTCATGAGTCGCGTTAGATGCTGAATTGGAATACGTTTGTTATCAGGATACACGACTCACGACTACATGCTTGGCCCCGCCTGTGGGACTGTTTGCTCCTTGACGCTGCACAATCTCAAGGCTTCAGACATCTGCTTGGCCACCGACAGGTGGCGATGGTTCACAGGGAGCATCACGCAAACGCTGCCCAGATCGTCCCCGGAAAATTCGTCCTGCCGGAGAACGGCCAATACACCTGCAATACTGAAAGCTGCAACGGTCTGAGTACCAACTCCCAAACAACTCAACATGCAACCCAAAAAGCAACGGCTTGCACCCCAAAACCGAAAAATATGTACAAAACATGCTTCGGGTAGTTCCCTGTGAATCCGACCCCCCCAAAAAAAAATGGTTCCTTGTTGAAAACAAACCTGCCCCAAGCGAGCCACGGGAGGGCCCTAGTCTGCGGCAAACGGGTAGGATGCGACATTGTCTATACTCCTTCGGCTTGAATCCTTAAGAGTCACCCCCCTTTTTTGTTGGTTCTTTTCCCGACCCCTGTCCCATTGATAGCCACAACTCATTAAGTGGGTGTGTCTTCTTTTAGGGGACCCCCCCCCCAAAAAGAAAAAAGGCTGTTTCCTTTTGGTGTTCCTTCAGAACCATCAAAAACTTGCTGGTTCTCAGCAGGAAATGAGTGAATGACCCCTATAAACCATTCCCTATGATTTCCTTTCAGGGAATCCCTTCTGGCTCATTCCCAAACCCTGGGTCATTCTCACCAGCAAGAAAATGCGTTTCCCCCCAAAAAAGAAGGAAACACTATATGGTTTGGTTCCCCAAACCTAGGTCCAATCAAGTTCATTCCCAAAAAATTGGGTTCCCCAGGTGTACAAAGTTCGGTCCTTGACGCTGAAGACCAGATCCGGCAGGAGCACGAAGGGCGCCAGAAGTGGCTTCGCGCGGTCGGCTGCGGCTTCGGCTTGAGCCGAGGGATCCTTGGGGGCCTCCGTCTTGGGCAGCTGCTTGTGGAAGCTCACCTTCCAAACCAATCTAATCTGGGCTCAAATGCAGACCACCTTCCAAACTTATCGGGGTTCAGACCCAGTATCGGCACTGTGGATGGACGAAATCCATTTTGCACCACATTGAAAGTATTGTTTGTTGTTATTTCCAGGGTTTCTTAGGTGGTGCAGGATTTTGTCCATCCACAGTATGATCTGGATTTTAAGACACCTTGGTTGGTACTCCCTGGTTGTTGCAGTTTTCGGTGGGAGCTTCTGTGGACGAGTGCTTGAAAGGGAACCGAAAGGAATCATAAACCTCCCCTACAGCCTCAAACGGTGCATTGAAGCCTTGTGGGAGCCAAAGAGGGAACTCGTGATTTGGTCTCGTGGCATCCGTTTTCAGTCAGTGCACAGTGTACGGGTGCAAATAAGGAGTGGGGGTGGAGCTAGCATTGCCAGCGGAAACGTGCAACCATAGGCCAGCCAGCCAGCCAGCCAACAACCAACCAACCAACCAAACAAACAAACAAAACAAACAACTAAGCAAACAAACAAAAACACAAACAAACACACAAACATACAAAAACACAAGCGAGCAAGTTTAAAACAAAAATGAACAATCAACCAGCAACCAATCAAAACAAATACGAGCAAGCAAGCAAGCAAGCAAGCAAGCAAAGCAAAGCAAAGCAAAGCAAAGCAAAGCAAAGCAAGCAAGCAAGGCAGACAAACAGCCAAGCCAAACCAAACCAAACCAAACCAAACTACACCAACTTTAAAAAAGAAGGAAAAACATACATACAAGAGCACAACAAATGCCTTGGGCCTTAATGTTGGCAGCCTGAGCAGGCTACAAAGTCTGGTTTCCAGATTACATCGCCTTGGCCAGAAACCTCCTTTGGTTCCTTTTTGGTTTTTCGTGCCCTCATGGAGGTGGACAAAGGCTTCGCCAGTCTTAAAGCCAAGGAGAAAGAAGCAGGTTCGACGTCGGTAAGACTCTCAAACGCTGAAACCGTGAAACAATGACTTTTTGCGGGTTCCTCCTGTACCCCCTATAAACATCGCCCCACCATAAGGAAACGCAAGTACAAATGGCCCCCGAGGTAGTGTTTCAAAAGCAAAATATAAGGAAGCCCTGCCACATCCACTTTGGAAAATAGCGTCCGACACGTCGTTCGCGCCTGGAGATACGGAATGATGGGGGCACTATAGTTGGAGACGGACACACGCCAACCACGGCTCTGGCTGGTCTTTAGTTTCAAGGGCCGCCACTCTCCCGAGTTGTCCTCTTCCTCGGAATCCGATGAATTGTCTGCACCTCAGGGGTGTTTCTGTGGCAACACTCTTTGTGCAACCGGTTGTGGCCAAATTGGTTGAGCCCCTGGCTTTTGGTGGGAATTGCGGCGATCCCCGCATGCCCTCCCCAAAGAAAAGTATGTTGTTGTCTATTGCCCAGTTTGCGCTGTCCTGTTTGCTGGAACGCCCTTTCTTGGAATGATTGAGAATGAGCTCAGAACTTGCCTTCCGGCGCAAGAAGCATCCAATTAAACATTCACAAAGCTATCTCTATTCAAGACCTGGAACGTGTGTGTACATATATGCTCACGCCCCCCTAAACTATATTTGGGGCACGCGTGTCTGATTCAACCAGGTCTGAAGGATCATCTGCTCATCTGCTCATCAACGAGCTTCAAAAGGAGTCTTACAAGCGATTCATAAGGAGCCTTACAAGGACTTGTCCTATTGGAAAAAGCCTTCTGACATTGCGACCTGAACTGCGAAATCAGTGAGCAGTCCTGGCCCTGAGCGCACTGCTGTGCTGAGTCAGGACATCGATGGAGTCTACAAAGGCCTTTCCTCTTGAAACAAGCTCACCCAACAAACCAAGAGGCTTCAGATGTTTGGAGTTTGGTTTTCTCGAGGCTTGTCGGGTTTTCTTTGGCTTTCCTTGGGTTTGTTTTGTTGTTTGAGCTTTTGGAGCCAAAAAACACAAAAACAAAAAGCTTCTTGTCTTATAAGCAAGGGGCATGAGAAAACCCAAAAAACAACGCATTGTGTTTGGTTTGTTGGCTGCAAAAGCTCAACAAAAACAACAAAACCAAACAGAAAAAAACTCGAGAAAACCACTTGTGGTTTTGTTTTTGGGTTTTCTCGAGGTGCTCTTGGTTTTGTTTGGTTTTATGCGGTTTTCCTCGAGTTGTTTTGGTTTTGATGAGTAAGGGGAGATGCAGCAAAACAAAGCCAGCAAGAGCTGTGGCATACTAGCCTTTGGTAAGGGCAAAAGGAGAGATAAAGCAGAACAAATTCAGTAATGAAGGGATAGTAAACATTGCATCTTGAATCCTTAGTTTCCTTTTCATTTTGTCATGTTTGGCTTCAGGTATTTGGTGGCTATGTGTAGTCAAAAACGGTAGACACAGGAGGTTGCTTACAGTTTGCTAATTAAAACACATCAATAACACTGTGTGTGTGTGGGTGTGCGTTTGTGTGTGTGTGTGTGTTACATGTTTAACTTTGGAGAAGCACTTTGTTGCAGACCGAAATTCGGCCTATATATATATACATAAGTGTGATTCGGGCACGAGCCTGTGCCCAGGCAATGGGTAAGTTGGGGTAAACAAGCCACAAAAGAAAGGCTCCCCAAAAGCAAACCAATCCCCGGTCCCAAAGATCAGGGTTTCCCACACACCAGAGAACAACAACCAAAAGGAAACACCAAACAAGAAAAGGGTTAACCCGCAACCTTGGTCGACAACAGGCCGCACGACTGGTCCCTACCAACCTGGCGGCGGCCCGAGGTCTCTTTCTCCCCCGAGATGCCGTCGGTCGACGCAGGGGCTCGGCGACGCCCATTCGAGGCGCGACGGAACCCAAAACTTGAGCCAAAACACCACAGGTCGGTCACTAACGCGACGTCCCTGATGATGATATGAACCATGGCTAATCCCTGATGATGATATGAACCATGGCTAATCACACCCCCCTCACGAGGAGCCCGTCATATGACGGGTGGAGCGTGCCATTTACTGATAGGATTTAACTGCTCGCATGCATCCGCAAACAGCTGGACACTACCGCCGTCAGCGGTGGAGCAAACCCACAAAGGCAGTTGCGCGACATCCCGGGCATTAAATTCCCGCCACCACCCCGAATTAATCGGGGTAACGCTGTCCAACATACCTTGTGGAAAAGTCCACATGACGACACTAGGTCACAACTGTTTGCATCAACAATGCAAGAAGTTTAATTCTTATCAGAAGCCATGAAATAAAAGATAACGTATGTCCATTAGTACCCTCGCCTAACGGCAAGAGGTACCCCTGACCATGCGTACCTGAAAAATGCTTGAATTCCGCAAACCCGGGAGTAACCCCCCATCAGTTTGCTTTCCCTCTCACTCACACTGCTTCCTGATGAACACGTCCAGCAGCCCAGCAGCGGTATGGGAGAGACATGACCTCCGCGCCTCAGCGGTCCGGGAGGAACATCACCACCTCCGCACCGCGCCGACCATTGGAGAATGGACGCAAGCCTATCGGCCGCAATCCTCGTGACTCAGCCTACCGGCTATCGTCACGTCTCCTCCGGTCACGCCCGCCCCGCGCACGGTCCCTATCACGATCCCTTTCGGATCTCCTGCGATCATCTCGCCTTCGATCTCGCTCCCGATCGAGTGAATCATCATCACGACGATCACGAGCATCGTCCCTCCTCCGGTCGCGATCATCCTCGCGCCGCGGACGGTATCTGCGCCTTCTCGACTCTCTGGAATCCCTGGTGTCCACGGTCCTAACGGACCTCCGAGAAGGAGTACGGGAAACATCCGATTCCCTACGCCTCCTCCCAGATCGAGAGTTCGTCACGATCTGGTTGAGAGCCTCCAGTGCCGACGCGTCCTCACCATTCCTGATGAAATCCCTGACCTGCTTGTTCAGCACTCTGTTGGTGGAGATCGACAAGAAAGCGTCCACCACCGAACTCTCAGGCAGCACCAGGAAGTGACCCTCCACCGGGCTCGCCGCAGCCCGCTCAGCAGACTGCAGCCGGATCTCCCCGCCTTCAGGCTTCTTTGCCATCGCCTTGGAGGCCGTCAAAGGCGCTACCGCATCCTTTGCCGAAGATCTGCCAAGCGCGGAGTGAAGATCATCCCCGCTAGCTTCTCTCGCTGCCGCACCTGGTCTGCTGTCGACGTCGCCAGGCCTCGTGGACGCCTCCCGCTTTGTCGACTCCTTCGCAGCCTCGTCGGGATCCCAACGGGATTTCCTTTCTCTCTTCTGTCCTTCGGCCGACCCGCGGCTACCGCCGGGAGCGTCACCTCCTCCTGTCTTCTCCTTCTTGACCTCAACCTTCGGTTCGGCCTGCTTCGTCTCCTTAGCCACAGCTTTTGGAGCCGGGGCACCCTTCGCCTCAGAAGCTGAAGCGGCCTTCCCTCTCGGCTCGGCCTTAGGAATCGGGGTCATTTTAGCCTTGGCACTCGGCCTGGCTCCTTCAACCACCATCTCGGCCCAAGACTTCTTCGGCTGAGCTGCTGCTGTATCAACCTCCATCGGAGCAGGTCCAGCATCGTCCTTCGCCTTTGGGACAGATGGGCTACCGCCCTTACCAGATCCTTTACCTGGCACATCACCTGATTTCGGTGGTGGGCCGGAAGGACTACCGCCCTTACCGCCCTTTTCCCCTTTCTTCCCTTTTCCTTTTCCGCCCTTGGGGACCGGCTCCTGCTTGGGACCAGGACCCGGCGCAGCATGATGCACCGATTGGAGTCCCTCGATGTCCACGTTCAAAGGTTCGGGTTGACGACCGTCAAGAACCGTCCTCACCCTTTCGTCACTAACGTAGACGAACGGGTCACGGAAGGGTGCGGGAGGCTCCGACTGTCCGGCGCTGATCGCCTTCTGCACCTTGGCTATCGCCTCCTTCAACCTCTTCTTCTCATCGTACCCTGTCTCCGATACCCTGTACTTCCTGAGCTGCGAGATCAACGCATGACTCTCCAGGATGTCCACGTCCTTTCGATGGGTCGGGTACAATGGGGTCAGATGACCAGCCGCAGAACCAATCACGTATGCCATCGGATATAGAATGACAGTACGTGTCATGACGAGCGAACTTCCTAACGGAAGTCGTCATACGCCTACCCCACTGAGCAGCGTGTCTTGGGTTGGCCCGGAAGTACTCCGTGACCGACTCAAATCTATCGACTTGGTTGGTCTTGATCAGGTGCTTCGCCACCCACTTCTCCACAACGCATCCGAGGCCGAAATCCCGGACACATAGGAGAATTGGAATAGCACCTTCGCCAGCTCATCCCACGCCGCATCGACACCTCCCTTGTCTTCACCAAGATAAGGGGGAAGTCTGATGCCGCTCTGCACCGTCATCCTCAGATCGGATGCCATCGAATAGGAAATCAAATTCCTCTTGATGACTCCGACCACTTCGGAGGGAATCCTCCTGGGCTTGAACTGCCCCATGGTCCTCACCCACTCCGGCACGATGTGGCACCTTTCGAAGTCCTTTTCCTCCGCGTTGGGGATAAAGTTCGGGTAAAAGACCGGGAGCGCGCACCCGGGACACAAGTGCATCCCATTCGGCATCAATTCTGCGCACCTCAAGCAGAACGTGGCAGTCACATTCAGCCTGATCTCTTCCCGTGATCGCTTGTGCTCTCCCCTAACGGGGGTGAAGTCACCGTAGTCCCATGCCCGATGGTACACTATCGTGTAATCATCGTACATATACGCCGCCTTCCAAGCCCCCATGTGGATCTCGTTCCTAACGGCAAGAGTCTTCCTTCTCGTCAAAAACACGGGTCCAACCAAGGACCAGTGCACCCGAAGATCCACCATTACCACCACGTACCTACCGGAGTAGTTCCGCAGCCTGTCCCTGACATACCACGAAGGCGATACCTCAGCATCCGGCGCCATGGCTCCCACAAGTGGGATCAGGCCCTCATCCTGCCTACCATCCCCAATGGTCTCGTACACATCGGGCCTCGTGATCAATATCTCGATCATGGCCTTTCCATTTCGCCTCACCCTTTGGAGCTGAACCGCCTTCCGAAAGTCCGAGAACTTCATGATGACGTATCCCACCATGGGGAGTTCATTCCAATGCATCTCATACATCAGAGATCCGCCAGGTGCATCTTCCTGAGTATACCTGTGCCTAACGGCACTGTAACTCAAGTCGCGTCCGATCCGCGTGTGCCTAACGGCAACCAACCTGGTGCTCTCCTTGAGGAGAACGCCATCCCCGTCGTACATGACCATGAGCATCGCCTCCACTTGCCCTATCGGGAAAGCTTTAAGCGTCGG